TATATATATATATATATTGCAACTTTGATTTTTCACATTTTTCTGTTAATCTTTTTAGTCTTAAAATTTGATTTAAAAAAAACTTTAAAACTTTGCTACTTGGTTTTTCAGATTTTTTTGTTAATGCTCTTAGTCTTAGTTACAAACAAAATTATTATTATTATTAAATCTTTATTACTATTTTAATGTTAATTTTTTTATTTACATAAAAATCACATTCATTAAAATTGTTTTAGCATTTTCTTTTATCTAACTTAAAGGATAAGACAAAAACATTTTTGGTACATTGATTTAGTTAATTGATTTTTTAAATTATTTTATACATTATTTTACTCTTTAAGTTATGTTTAAAAATGATTAAAATAGATTGAAAAAATATTTTTTAATCTAAGACAAAAAGCAATCTTTTTTTTTTTTTTACACACATCTTGATGTCATCTAACAAAAAATATTTGAAAATTCAAAATTCTGATGTAACTCAGCAAAATAAAATAAATACAAACCTGTCTGCGTTTTTCATTGCTCACAATAAAGTGTGAGGGAGAGACAAATGCTTCAGGCAGCCCCCCTCCACTGCTGAAGGAGCGAGCCGCACTGGACACTCCAGAGCTGGCCGTCACGCAGCTGCTGTTTTTATCTGAAGGCTGCCCACATGAGCCACAGACCACTGTACGGCTGCGGAGGTTGTACTCACCATCCCCGCATGTGCTGTGGGCGGCCTGCAGGGGGAGACAGTAAACAGAGAACAACTGAGACTGAGAACCTATTGGATCTTATTATAGAGATGAAGTCTGGCTGCTCTCAGTTCATTTTAGTGCTATGATTCACTGTGAGAAGTCTACACCCAAAACAAACCCAACTAACAGCCATTAACAAAAGTACACTGGGTAAAGAAATAACGATGTTCATTATGACCAGAGTGGTTTTAAACATCATACACACATCATACACACATTATACACCTTATACTGTGAAGAAAATGCATTTAAATGCATTTCAAAAGTTCGATTTCGGTCGACTTAAAGCAATAATTCATCTTTTTAAAAAGTCATGTTAAAACTTTAGACTTGTGATGCCAGACTATAGATTTCGATTATGTGATTGTAGCTCGACTTTGTCTAGTATGTCCTAAGAACTCATGTTTTCAATTTAACCTGGAAAAACTCAAAATATATTGTGCAAAAAAAAGAAGAGATTACTACAACATTTTGAGACGTGCAATTGACTAAGTACCATATCATCATCTTCCTCATCCTGGAATAGAGTGCGTGTGACCTTCCTCATGGCCATTTCCTAGAGAAATACAAACAAATAAAGAAAAAAGGGAAGCGAATGAGTCACTTAGCTACCTCAAATCAAATAAAACATTCAAAAAACTGGCTGGTTTGGTTCAGTATCCCACCTCCCCACTGGAGCTGATGAGGGTGGTCTGGAACAGATCTCCACTGCCCCATGAGTTCTGGGTCTTCCACACCAGGTCAGAAGGAGGACTGTGGGTTCCTCCAGCTCCTGCAGCCCAAATCTGACAGCAGAGAGACACTGCAGTGAGTTGGGAATTTTAAAAAGTGTGACTATTATGTTGTAAATCGATACATACCGTGACAGTCTGTCCTGCCTTCAGGGTAAATTTTGGCGGGAACTTGTAGACAATGGGAGTGCCGGAACCAATCTGCCTCTTCACCTGCCAGTGACCCATAGTTTGATCCTGGAGGAAGAAGATTTATTTAATAAAAAGTAAATATTTAATTCCTTTTTATTGGTTCCCAAAGCTCCTTTTCCTTCTGACCTGGTCAGATTTGTTACTGAGCCGAACATATCTGCCCTCCATGTCCACTTCATCCACGGTCACACGGCCGCTGGCAGAGGCCTGCTGGGCGACGCGTGTGCGAGTAACGGTTCCGCCGACCACACTGGAGACATCGCTGTCGTTATCATTCAAGCGCCGTTTTTTAGCACTGCCTGACGAGGTACGACTGGTGCTGCTCTGGACCACACGTGTATGAGTGCCAGAACCCGAGGAGTGGGTCACAGTCACCCCACGGACAGGAGGGGGACTCGGGGAGAGTCGCAACCTAAACAGGGATAGCAGGGCAAAGGATGTGAGGATGATTTGTAAGTAAATGCATGAGGCTATCATGCACCACAAGTCCTATTACAATTAGTATAATCATCTTATGTCTCAATTAATTAATCAGAATATCTTTAATGCTTTTACTCTTAGATTTAAAATGATTCAAATGTAAAAGTTTTATTTATATGCTTTTTTGTCTTTTAGTTAGAATTGTTTTAAAGGGGTCATATGAAAAAAAGTGATTTGCGGAGAGTTCTATTGCAAGTTATTCTATTGTAGGAGCATTGTGGTACACATGTACAGGTATGAGGAATTTCAACACATTGCTGCCTTGCCAGCACTGCAATAAATACTTGTATGTATGAGTGTGTACCTGTTTCTGCAGCTGAGTGAGCTGAGAGGTCACACTCTCCAGCCTCAAACGTGTCTGCTGCAGTTCCTCATGGGCGGCTCCCACCAAATGGCTGTTCCTGTCAGCCGACTGACGGGCATTCTCCAGCTACACATAGATAGCACAGGATGACATTTAACTGACAGATATGTTGTATGTCTTTATATATAAAAATATTTGAACAAATACGGCTGGCAACGGATCAGTCAGTAAATATGTATACAGGGCGGGCCCGGTTTAACAAGGTGCCTCTGGGGAGATACAGAAACGTAGATCCTCACAGTATGTGAGGGGCGTAACATTTCCGTCTCACGCTTGAGGTATTCGGCCAATCACAACGCACTGGATAGCTGGCCAATCAGAGCACACCTGGCTTTTCAGACCAATGAGCTTTGTAAAAATCGATGCGTTTCAGAAAGGCGGGGCATAGAGGAGAAACAATAATGTACAGTATGTGGAAAATAATGTGTTTTTTGAACCTTAAACCACATAAACACATTTCATTACAACAAATACATGAAATAATGTTCTTTTTAGCAACATCATATGACCCCTTTAAAACAATTAATCAGAATCATTAATGCTGTATTAAAAATTTAATTTTAAAAACATTAAAAAATGTAATACTTTTTAAATAAATCTTTTACTAATATTTTTATCTAACTTTAATATTAAAAGCAACCGAAAAATCAAACCAGCAAAAATTTAATCTATTTTTAATTAAAAAATATATATATATTTTATGAAATAAATAAAATAAATATTTAAAAATTTAATTTAAGCAACTTTTTAATACTTATTCAGCAAATACTGTTGCAGTTAATTTTATTAATTAATCAGAATATCATGCAATTAATTTGATTACAATTTTTTAAAAGCAATTGACAGCTCTATTATTTACTAGCAGCCACATTTGCATGTGTGCAATAAGTGATATCCCATCTCTCACCTCTCCTCCTCGCCCTCCAGAAGCTTCCGGTAGGCGCTGATCTCCATGTCGAGTGCGAGCTTAATGTCCAGCAACTCCTGGTACTCGTCCAACTGTTGCTGCATGCGATGCCTCATTTCGGCCATCTCTTTCTCCTTGTCCTCCATACGACGGCGCATCATGTCCCTCTCTCTGGATAGAGCCTCCTCCAGCTCACGGATCTTCGCCTCACGAGCAGTCAACTAATGAAGAGAGCACAATCGTGCAATTTAAACAATGTAAATGAATGTTACGAGTCTGATTTTCAAACTCAAATTTAAATAGTTTACTCAAATGGCTGTTCCTGTCAGCCGACTGACGGGCATTCTCCAGCTACACATAGATAGCACAGGATGACATTTAACTGACAGATATGTTGTATGTCTTTATATATAAAAATATTTGAACAAATACGGCTGGCAACGGATCAGTCAGTAAATATGTATACAGGGCGGGCCCGGTTTAACAAGGTGCCTCTGGGGAGATACAGAAACGTAGATCCTCAAAGTAATTTGTAAATCCACCACATTTGGCGGTTTGCTCTTTGACTGTTCTATTACCTTGGAGTTGTAGGTCTTCTCAATTTCATCCTTGTAGATGCGAAGCTGCTCTTCGTGTTGGTTACGGAGTTCAATCAAAGCCTCAGACAGTTTACTCTCATACTCCTGCTGGCGGCCGCTGTCGATTTCCACCATACGTGACTCATGTCTGCGCTTAGACTCACGGAGCTCCTGAAAAAAAGATAACAGTTTAGAGTAGCAGAGAAAGTCCTGCATGTCTTTGTTTCAGAACCTGTAATTGACTTAAATATGTTAGCAGACAGAAGTAAATGCTCAGATTATTATTTTTTTTACTTTAAATGCATAGGAGAGCTCAGCTTATGTAGATGTGTGTGTGAGACCTCAGTGTAGATGTTCTTCTGGAAATCCAGCTCCTCTTTCAGGGTCTGGATTCGGTTCTCAGCGTCCACACGTCGTAACATTTCATCCTGTAGCTGCTTCTTAGCATCATTCAGACTGCCCTCCAGCTGCAACACACATATTCACTTCACTTACTTCTGTATCAATTCAATGTTAAAAGCAACATACTATGCAAAATACTTCTTAAAATCCTATTAGCATGCAAGTCTTGTTTTCTTATAAAAAATATCTAAACATCTAATCTTGTGGCTCTCAACATTTTAGACTCTAAGGCCCCAAGACAATACAAGAAAACCCTCCTATCTAAGCTGATATGTACTTCTGGTATTTCTATTGTAACAAAAAAAAACACATGAGTTTATAATAAATAAATAAAAATAAACATTAATGTGAGTTTAATGTTTTAAATATTTATTTTTGATGTTTTTAGCATTTTAATTAAGATTATATTAATATAACAAAATTTTAGGAGCTACTGGGGCTCCTAAAAGAAGTTTGCAGAGGCCCCCTAGTGGTCCCTGGTTGAGAATCACTGATCTAAACAAGATAAATGTACTTCAGCAAACTGTATAAGGTTTGTTTCGAGAAAATAAATATTAATTTTGCCAATTTTTTCCCCAAGAAAGTTGAACTAATTTATATATATATAAAAAAATCGAATTATTTATTTATGTTCATCTCTCTCTCTCTCTCTCTATATATA